TTATGTCTCCAAGTTTTTGTGTGTGTGTGTGTGGGGGGGACTGGTAAGTAGACTCTCATTCACAGTACTTTATACATTTTTCTTTGGAAATGATCAGTCTTAAGTCACTATAAGTGATTTTCAAACATATAAGCTGATTTTGGAAGCAATACGGCTCTTTCAGAAGTTATTTCAGTAATCCTTCTTGTTCGTAAAATTTATTTTGTTGGTTTCCAAAGCTACTCTGGAATAAAAATAAAACTGCCCTTCAATCTAAAAGTAATTCTTAACTGTTGCAGTCATTTTTTCTTTTCCCTGGATTATTTGAATACACAAATGATACTATTAATAATAGCGTTCTTACCAGTGCAACAATCATGCAGTTTGATCCCTATTTCTTTTCTTCTACAAATGCTTAAAGAAAACCTCCTGCTTATCAATAAAAAGAGTGGAAAAATGTTCAATTAGTGCATGTTACAGGTATGAAGAAAAAAAGCTGGCTATTTCTGTCTTATCATGTCAGAAAATAAGAGCTAAGCTGACCTTAGAAGATGAGGAATAACATGTGTTTGAAACAGTCTGAAGGAAGTCATCCAAAAAAGCCTAGGGTAGTTGGAACTAGCAAGCAAAATAATAGCAAGTGTGTTGTCATAACAAAGCAAGCTGGAGGCTTCCCAAGGTAGAGGAGAGACGATTCTTTCATACATTGTAAATGCTGAAAGTGGGGCTGGAACTCATGGATTGGAGGCATAATTCTGTCAGGCACAGAGTATTAGCTACTTTAATCCTTTGGGAAGTAGATAGGACTACTACCATCTTAACAATGAGGACATTAAGGTTTTGATGTCTTGTAATTTGGGTGTGGTGGTCTCCAGTCCATGGATGGAAAATTCCTTGTGTGTGTGCTGCTGTTTCTTGTTCAAGCCTGCTTGCTGTGCCTGGGCCAATCACCCCTCCTGCTGTACAGGTGAGGAAACTGAGATGTGAAGACTTTAGGTGTTTATTCCAAATCACACAGAAGTTAGTAACAGAGCTGTTTGGAATCCAATTGTCTTGATTCCTAGTGAAGTCTGCTTCCCACTGGCCCAACCACACCTGCTTTCTACCTCTTCTATATGCATCACATCCAGAAAAGAGACTAGAGGAACTTAGGTTATTTTAATAGGGGCATTTAAAATGTAAGTATAGTCCATCCCTCAGTATTTGCGGGGGATTGGTTCTGAGACCCCTCCTTCCCAGGATACAAAAATCTGAAGGTGCTCACGTTCTTTACAGTTGGCTCTCCCTATCTGCGGGTTCCGCCTGGGAATGCAGGGGTATGAAGGGCCAACTTTATTTTTGCAGCTTCTTGCAAAGACTATGTAAATCACAGAGATATCAATTTGACAAAAACAAGCTAGAAGAGGAATGTGAATAGCAGTGAAATACACTTCAGGTTTATTTAACCAGTGAGGTTGAAGTGCTGTTTTGAATATTGAGTGGTAAAGAGGTTTTGCACAAGGAAGGAAGAGATTTAGTTTGCTTCTCATCCTGTCACTTACTAAATAGAGTCTTGGGTCGCAACAAGCCAAAGCTGTCACATACATGAAAGGGAACCAATAGCACTTTGCCTGCCTCAAGATGTTGATATCGGGGTCTCCCAAACTGGTTCTAAGAGGTGATTATGAGTTATATATTTCTGTTTTTCACAAAGAATTCCAAGAGTTGGAAAGTCAGGATCAAAGGTCCTAAATATTCTGTAAATGAGGATCATTCCCTTGTTTCTCCCAGGACAGTTAAAAAACAAAACAAAATAAAACAAACAAAAAACTCTCAGGTGTTAGTCATTTTTGGAAATGCCATTTGAAAAGCATTATATTTTATGGCCTTGTTTGCAGAATTGTGAATTAATATGTGTTCATAGCCTAAGGCCAAAATATCCCAGTGTGTGGGAAAGTTTTTCAAAAAACTATACATCTATCACTGTTTTCTAACATTCCATGGTAATTTGCATTCACTGGGGAATTAAATGGATCTGACACAAATTTAAGTTAATTTATTCAGTAAGTAATGGCATGTTTTAAGGGGATTCAAAGTGATCATAATAATGGCAAGCTAACAAATCTTTGAAGATTAGCATCGGCAATAAATGTAAAAACACAGGGTGGGAGAGGAGGAAAATAAAGGTGCTTTTTAGAGATCATTTCCAAGAATATTTTATACATTTACATGACCCATAGCCAAAGCAGGAATTCTGTGGGGTCTGTGCAAGTGACAGTCATGTTATAAAATCAACAAGAACACAAGAAACAATTTGAGAGATGACTTTAAAAGTAGCTATTGGAAGGAGAGAGCAAATAATTGCTGAGTAAGAACCAGGGATGATTCAAGTTAGTACTTTTGAGATTTCCCTAATAAGAATTATGTTTAAAAATCCAGTGTGAATCTGTTTCTAAAAGATTTAGATGTATGGCTTATTGCTCAGAAATGCTTTTGTAAAATGATGAATTTGTTTCTAAAGTGATCAATATGATTGGTGGGGGGGGGGTGCAGAGAATGGGTAGACTAATGGGTAAAAATCTCTGCTGTCTACCCTAAGTGAATAATTGTGTAGCCCATGCATGTACTGTACCCCACAAAAACATAAATTTTTTAAAAAGTCAAGGACTTAAACCTTGAGGTTGATACAAAAATACAGAAAAAGGTACATATCCTTGTCATGACTTGCTAATGAATTCTTCTGCTAGTCTTGGAACTTCCACCCACCTACAACTTCATATTGTGGTTCTCACCTTTAGTATGAATAAAAATAACACAAAGAGCCAAACATGGGTATTCTAGGGTCACACCTCAATTTTGATTTGTTAAATTTGAGGGAAGGCTCTGGAATCTGCATTTTAATAAGGCTTACAAGAGAGTCCGATGTAAGTGAACTGTAGCCCACACCTCTAGAAAAACAGCAGTAACCAATTTACTTACAAGGGTGAACTCTGAGTTTATATGTTTATTTTAGAGCAGCTGGCTGGACACGACCTATGCTCTCATACCTTTTTTTATTAGTATAAAAACTTACCATATCCCTGTGTCTGGCAGCACAGAGCAAGGACAGAAAACAGTTCCTGACCTTGGGAAAATCCCCCAATTTCCTCATATTTAAAATAACAGAGTTGGAGTAAATGTTGTCTAGACTCCCATGTAGTTCTAATACTCTAAATGCATAACTGATATTAAATGCAAGTATTTCTTGAGAATTATGACTCATGTATTGGCTAATGTGTACAGAAAGAGCCCGGAAAAACAGAAATCAGCCTTTGAGCCATTAAATCAGTTAAAGGGTTTAAATAAGATTTCCCTTCCCACCCTCATGTTTCAGCCACAAGCTAGGGAGCTGGAATGGCAATTAGATATACAAACCCTATGCCTAAATGAGAAAGATTAACTTTTCTTAAAATTTTAAGCAACTGTCTTCATATCATTATCAGAAATTAGATGTACTGATTGTCAAGCTGCCATCTCTGTGTGAATGGCTGACAATTAGTATAAATAAAAATCATGCTTAGAATTAATTTTAATAATTCTGTCAACCAACAGGGTAAACACAACTGATGTCATTTGTGTTACAAGTAGTCGAATTTGGAAGGTTCCCATTTGACTAACTCTATATTAGGTGAAAAACCAATTCCTTTGCTTGATTCTATTTTAATAGATTTTTTAAAAATATGAGGCATGGACTATGAAATTAAGTCATATAAGACAATAGAAGGCTATTCAAACAGTAACACTGAAAAAACCCTATATGGGAGAAATCATGCCTTATTATCATTTTTTTTTGTATTTTACGCAAGGCCATACATGGTACCTTAATGGTATAAATGGTGTAAAAAGACCGGTTAATTAAGAGTTGATTCTAGTCACAAACAAAAACTTAAGCTTTTAAAAAATTTACTGCTTGTTAAAAGACATTTGCAAATAGTTGCAAAGCCTGTGAATATAAGGTGGAGGCTCGTTCATTCACACACCTGTTCACCAAACATTCATTATCCACTACACCAAGTGCTAGATGCTGCTGTAAGCCCTAGAGATGGAGCAATGGGGAGGGAAAGGCCAAATAAAGTTTCTGTTCTCATGGGGCTTAAATACTAACGGGTTAGACAGACAATAACAAATAAGGAAATAAATACTTAGTACAGCAAATGCTAAGTAGAAAATGAAATAAGGGTAAGGGACAAAGGGTGATGGAGAATTTTATATTGATTTGTCAAGGAAGCTACTCTGATAAGGTGACAGTTGAGCTGAGACCTGAATAGAATTAGGAATGAGTTATAAAAATATTGGGGAAAGAGTTCCAGGCAGAAAAAACAGCAACCAAAATGTCCAAAACATCCTAAAAAGTACAATATAAATTTTAAAAATCTAGGCTTTTTCGTAAATCTTGGAGGCTGTCCTGTAGCATAAATTATCTCTTTTCTATTAAGCTTCGACTACTCAAATCTTATGGCTCTCCTGCTCCCCTGAACTTCTTACAGCAGAATTTAACTTGTAATTTAATATGATTTAATACTATTTTGTCTTGTTCCGAGGGGTGGGGTGGGGTGGAGTGGAGTTAGTCTGATCTCCTTGACTAGACTTAAAACATAAGAACAAGGATCAGGGCACACTGGTTAGCTCAGGTGGGAGAGCATGGTGCTGATAACACCAAGGTCAAGGGTTTGGATCCCGGTACTGGCCAGCCACCAAAGAAAAGAAAAAAAAAAAAAGAGAGAATCACACTTTATGCTATTTCTGGTATGAAGGGCTCTACCCTGCATGTCCTGGTATTGAACCTGTGTTAGATCCATAATAAAGGTATTTGATTAACCAAAGGCTGTGTATGCAAAATCATTTGCAATGTAAAGTTTTTAATAGGAAATGTTTCCTTGCCAAGGTTCTCTAGGTGTGGTATGGAATTGCAAGTAGGATCTAATATTTTTATTTGCAACTGTATGTACTCACCCCTAGATATACAGAAGCTTACTTAAAAGGAGATAAATATAACAAATGAGGAGATATATTAAAAGACTTTATTCACAATAGAGAAATATTACAAATATAATTTTTAAAAATTATGTGTCAATCTATTATGCTTCTCATAACATTAGAGATTTATATAAAGTTGGAAATGACAGAATGGATTTATGTACAAATCAAAAATAATCAATGTAAAAAAATGGGTAACACACATGAAAAAGTCATGACAAACCAAGTCATTGAGTTCTGTAAATTGCCATACAACTTATATGTGTAATATTAATTGCACAAAGTATATCAAAAAAATACCACATAAACACAGAATTAAGTGCTATTTTAATTGTTCATCTTTCAGGATATGAATACATATGTAAATTTAACTGCACAGTTTTGCTGAAAATGAATAAAAGACAGTATCAACTAAAGACTTCAGTTTAAGATAATTAATACAAAATATAACTTTAATTAAATTATATCACCATAATATTAATCTCTTATCTTGTTTACATTTTTGGTGTTGTGGGACTTATGCTAAAAAAAATCCAAGTTCGAAAATGGAAAAAACTCTGTACTCGTCATTGGCAGGGCAGCGTGTAGTACAGCTTCTTGTCTACTTATACCAGGATACAAAAGGTACGTGATAGTGCAGAGTGTCCACACAACCTGGTTTTGAGACCCATCTGCTGCAGAAATACCTAACAGCTTTGTGCTCTTTCAAATAAAATTGAAAGGCAAAGAAAATGAATTAATTTATGTTGCTACTCCAAGGATATCCATGTGAAAATTATAATCTTAATACATGTGGCCCAATTGTGACAATAATTTTTTTATTTTGCCTTAAAGTCCTGGGAAAAAAGGGCTCCTGCTATCCGTTCATTTCATTAAGTGAGCTGAAGATACATGTGGGGGACGTTATTCTGGGTCACAGAAACACATTAATATGACAACAGTGATGTGTTGAAGGATCTTTTTCATTTTCTAATTTTATTTATTCTTTGACCTACATCAATGTACGATATTGGGGGGGGGGGAGTAAAAAAAAAAAAAGAGCAGGTCACAAGGTGGTTCTGTCAAAGGAAAACTTTAGAAACACTTTCAAAACCTGAAATAGCTAAAACTATTAAGTCTATTGACATCTAAGAAAATAACTGTCTTAAAAAATATTAGATTGAAGCACATGAAATTCCTGATATTAGACAGTTTTAAAACTACAAATGTAGCAATTTCATATGCTTCAGCCTAATCCATGGGGTTGCACTGCTCTGTTTGACCATCTAGGCTGAAAATTTAGGTGGTCATTCTTCATACTTCAGTATACACACCATCCTATCAGCTCTTTCATGGAAATATATATATATACGTTATGAACCAATATGATAATAAAACACAAGGTGTCACCAAATCCATTCTTGGGAAAACCATTCATATTTCAAACCTTTATGCTTAGAAGAATTATACAATTATTTTGACCTGCTGCAGGATTGTGGAGGATTGGGAATGTCCACTCCCGTATGTTGCTTCTAAGTCAGGATCTCTATGTTGAATTTAACCATAATAAATGTACTATAATCTTATCTGGCCTAAGAGTTTATTAGATTTTCCTTAACTGACCATGAATAGATAAATTGGCAATGCTGCTTTCACAGAGTCAAATCCTGATTTCACAAACTGAAATGAAATAATTTACTACATTTGAGAAAGGGCCTTTTTCAAATCTGAAAAATCTGAACCAAATGGAATGCTTTCTTTTCTCAAGAAAAAAAAATTAAAGATGAAATAAAAACAAATGAACTAAAAGCCATATGAAATACTCACCCTCTCTTTTGAGAGACCTAATTTCTTCATCTATCCAGTTAAAAGGAAATGCTAACACATTAAAAGCTAGGCTATTTCCCTTTAAAAATGTAATTCAGCAATAGCAGAGCTCTGCAAAACGTGAGAGCTCGCTTCGCTGTGTAGTAGGGACTGGAAGAAATTAACCAGTACATGATCCGGAAATGACACAGGGCATTTAAAGTAAAATTAGAGAACAAATTCACAAATTGGGAAACACTAATATAATTAACCAACAAAAATATACTGCAGTTCCAATGAAATGAGGTCAACATGAGATGATCCTTTGGGACGACTTTCTAATTTGAATTACAATACGAGTGAAGAATTTTAGAAGATACTCTATCAAATAATGATAGATCTACATAAGGAGGCTGTCACACTTATAAGATCTGTCTCTGGTGGATAGACAAACCAGATTAACATGAAATTGAAAAGGAAAAAGCTTTTTTTAATACTTAATTTATTATTATGGCTTTTTGCAACATGGCAAAACATTACAGCTTAAAGCAGACATCATCTCCTCATAGAGGAGGAAAAAGTTTTGCAGTCAAATCAAATTGTAATTAAGAGGTCATTGGTATACCGTTCTGTTCAGTTTAATAAAAATAATATTACACCTTCATGAATGCCAGAGATAATAGGTTACTTCAAAACAAATAAGCAAAATAAAACCTGTGGATCCACTGGCTGAATAATAAAGGATATAATAGGGATTTCGGTCCATCTATGTCTATGATAAACATAAAAGACTGCAAAACAATTTTGGAACTTAGAATAATCACAGACCTACTAATAAAAGTTCATCATGTGTCTGATTACCAGAAAAGGAATTATTAAGGTATGCAGTGAAGGGAATGAAGCAGAGTAAAATATAAAATGTCTTTTTATTTGTCTTTGACTTCAATTTCCTTTTTTTCTGTACGGAGTATAGGGAGAAGATGTGCTTCAGTATTGAAGATCCAATGTTCCAGTGGAAGGAGATTGTCATCAGAAAATATTAAGTACAAATATCTGGTGAGAGAAACAGGAGTATATGAGGTCCAAGAGACAATGTCAGGCAGTGAAACCACAAAGACACAGCGAAAAACACATCAGTGTCTCCACTCATCTTACAGACAAGCATGGACAACAGTCAAGTATATCAGAATCCCGAGGGGCTAAACTCATCAATGTGGAGTACAGGAAAGCTACTCTGTGCTTTGGTATCAGTGTATAGGAACCATACAAAGCAGCCCCCAGTCATCAAACTTAGTAACTACTGAAAATACGCCTGCAATTATTGCCACACGTGTAGAACAGCATTCTGAATCAGTCACACATCTGCAAAGAAGCTCTGTCCAGGTACCTCAGCCAAATACTTTTAGAATAATTTTACTTACTTTAGTGTCTCTGCCAGGAAGAAACTCTGCTGCACATCATCATAACTCTCATGAAGGAGGTAAACATCCCTTAGGCCTGAATAGCCCCCATTTACTCTGCAGTGACTTTCCAGAGCCTAAATTACAAAGAGGAGGGGAAAAAAGGGTCACATTTCAGTAAACTGACAATCACTTATTCTTATCATTAGATTGTCAAATTCAGAAAAAATAAAGATTCTAATTGAATAAAAGATTGTAACAGTTTTGGGTGAAAAATTTAAAAACCATAAAACATAAATTCAAATAAAATATGAAAAGTCAAAGGACATATGAACAATATATTTTACCTAATTGGAAACACTTCAACATTTCGCTTTGGAATAATTTTTCACTGATTTCTACCATGTCTTCCTATGGTCAAGGGCAGTGTTTGGCAAGCTACGGACCACAGGCTAAATCCAGTCTACTGTACTAAGTTTTATTGAACCACATTTGTTTACATATTGTCTGTGGCTGTTTTTGCACTACGATGACAGAGTTGAGTAGCTGCAACAGAGACTGTACGGCCCACAAGACTAATACTGTCTGGCCCTTGCAGATAAAGTTTGCTGACTCCTGGTTTAGAGACATTGTTAATATCAGTTGGGATTATGAACCGCTGGCTGAGAAAGTATACCTGACCGATAATAATCAGATTATACTCAGAACATCTTATTTCTTAAAAATCATACTAATTAGTGATATTGGTGAGAGAGCTAAGAGAAGAAAATGGAAGGCAGTGAGAAAAATGTGTCTGGTATTGATTCCTAAAATTTATTTTTTCTTTTTTAAATCTGCTATGGAAGAAGACAGGAGGAATCCACTGCTAGAGAGAAATAATCCTACATTTCTGTAGTTGTCTGAACATAATGAGATTTTGCAAAAGAGATAGGTTGAGCAATATGGGGATGAAAATCTAGGTAATGACCTAAATTTGCCTTTCTCTTTGTCAGCTGCCACTAAGTTGATTATTTGTATCGTTTTTTCCCCTTCCAGAAGCCTACTTTATTTCTGTTGTTTGTTTGCTTTGTTTTTCTTGACATTAAAACATTTCCAGCTTTACTGATGACATAGGATTGGAAAATAAAAATTATATATATTTAGGGTGTGCAACATTATGTTTTGATATACATATGTATTGTGAAATGATTATCACAATCAAGCTAATCAACATATCCATCACCTCTAACATCTCACAGTTACTTTTTTTTTGATGGTGAAAATACTTTACATCTACTTTTTATACATTATTATTAACTATAGTTGCCATGCTCCAGAACATATTCTTCTTATAAGTTAAAATTCATACCCTTGGACCAGTATTTCCCCCTCTCCCCCATCCCCCAGTCCTTGGTAACCCCCATTCTACTCTCTACTTCTGAGTTTTAAAGATGCCACATATAAGTGAGATCATACAGTATTTATTATTCTGTGTCTGGCTTATTTCACTTAGCATAATGTCCTCCAGGTTCATTCATGTTGCTGCAAATGGCAGGATTTCCTTCATTTTTAAGGCTGAAGAGTATTCCAGTGTGTACATATACCATATTTTCTTTATCCATTCATCCACTGATTGACACTTACATTGTTTCCCTATCTTGGCTATTGTAAATTATGCTGCAATGAACATGGGAGTGTGGATATCTGTTTGAGATACCAATTTCATTTCCTCTAGATATGAAAGGAAATGGAATTGCTAATCATATGGTAGTTCTATTTTTAGTTTTTAAAGGAACCTCCATTCTGTTTTCCATAAAGGATGTACGAATATACATTCCCACCGGCAGTGCACAAGGGTTCTTTTTTCTCCACATTCTTGCCAACACTGGTGATTTTTGACTATCTGACAATAGCCATTTTAACAGGTGTGAGGTGATCTCATTGTGGTTTTGATTTGCATTTCCCTGGTGATTAGTGATGCTGAGCATCTTTTCATATACCTGTTGGCCATTTGTATGCCTTTGGAAAAATGTCTATTCAGATCCTTTGCCCATATTTTAATCCAGTTACTTGTGTTTTTTGCTATTGAGTTGTATATGAGTTCCTCATATATTTTGGATACTAACCCCTGATCCCATGCAGAATGGTTTGCAAATGTTTTCTTCCATTCTGTAGGTTGCCTTTTTGTTTAGTTGGTTTCCTTTACTGTACAGAAACTTTTTAGTTTGATGTAGTCCCATTTGTTTAGTTTTGCTATTGTTCCCTGTGCTTTTGGTGTTGAATACAAAAAAATCATTGCCAAGACCACTCTCAAGAAGCTTTTTTCTCCAATGCTTTCTTCTAGGAGTCTTATGGTTTCAGGTCTTATGTGTAAGTCTTCAATCCATTTTGAATTGACTTTTGTGTGCTGTTTGTATTTTAAAATTATATTGGCTGCTTTGCTAATTACCAGACATATTCACCCCAGGAAAGTTATTTTTTGCTCACCACATCCCACTAATCCTATTAGTCATATGGTCAAATAAAAATTTCTATTGTACAAAAACTATCATCTGAAATCTGGTTCTAATTTGTAGACTGTGGACAAAAAATAAAGTTTAAGACTAAAATCCTAATATTTATAATGAAATAAAATATAAACAAGATAAAGTTACTCTTAGTTACTGTCATTTTTCATTTTTTTTCTCTTATGAATGATAATCCTGTCCCTCTTTTTTTACATGTATAATTCTACCCCATTTTTCTCCCATGAAACCCAACTACCAAGAAGATGGAAAGCACAGATGTTGCCATATTGTAACAGGCTGTACAGAAGTGACTCCATTTTGTTAAACTTCTAAATTAAAAAGTTTTTTTCTTACTCTTATAACCCAAACTGCATAGCTTGCAGCTGGACATTAGAATACAATGATTCTTGTTCACATGATTGCTAGAAAATAATGACTTTAGCTCACATTGTACACAGAATAATTACAGAAGAAATTATTAACCCAGGTGGCCATTCTTTACTACCTTACCACCTAGATCTTTTTGAGGTTATCAGGAACTGAATTCATGACTTGACTTCATGGAGGATGGTCACCATGGATCGGCTCCCACTTGAGAAGTTCTTTGATGTTTATCTGAAGTTTTATGATTATGCCCACACGTCCCTGCTTGGATCACCATGAATCAGCCCCCACCACCTGTCCCTATAAAACCCTTTGGCAAGTCTGGGCAAAGTGGAGATAGTCTTTGAGGCATTAATTCACCATTTCCCCAGGCTGCCGGCTTCCTGGTTAAAGGCCACCTTTCCTTACACCAACACTTGTCTCTCAATTATTGGCTATTGAGCGGCGAGCAAACGGACCTTTGGGGTTTCGGTAACAATATTAGTTGAGTCTTCATTAGCTACAAAAGGGTTTTGGAAGAAAATAGGCTCTAAGAACGTGGAGCCCAGAAAAGAGGAGAGGGCAGGCAAATCTCAGCCATGGTTTCTCATGAGCAGGGACACTGCACAGAGAACTTGGCTTCCTTCTGCAGACACTGACAATGAGGATATTGATTTTTTTACCTCAGGGCTGGAGGGCAGAAGTGGGAGAGTAAAGAGAGGGGCATGAGGAGAAGCATTTAATTACCAGACTCAAGAAAATCTGACCAGCAGACTAAGTGAACAAAGGGAATAAAGAAAACACCTCTTGATTTGGTACTTGTCCCCAGGAAAATAAGAACAATCAACTTAAAAAGATGCACCCATTAAATTCTAAGTTTCAGACAATAAGCCGAATGGGAGATAAGCCTGAAGAAAGAAACTTTGAGGTCCTATTAATTTTTTTTCTTTCCTTCCTCTGTTGATGAAAGGACTTTTTGATAAAAAGTCAAATCACAGATACATGGAGTAGGCCAAAAATTATTTGTTAAAAAAAAAATTATTATAAAAATTATTTGTAAAAACAAACAAACAAACAAACAAACAGGATTCAGAAGAAATGGGCAAGCTTGTTATGGAAGATAATGAAACCCCATTTCCAGACATTTCCTTAAAAAGATTTTAACTACAAAATCTTTTCTTAGTTGTCCCCTCGAGGCTCTCTGGTGATAAGATAGTGAGAGAGCCAGGCATGATAAATAACTACTCCTCTTCCCCACAGAAATTTCTATAAGCTCCTTCACTGTTGCAGAAAGAGTTGCTCTTGGGATGGACGATGCCCAATCCCTCTCTTTTCGGTTCCCCCCCACCCATTCTTTTTCGCCCACCGTCCTCCTGGGGCTAGCTAGAGTAGTCAAGAACACAGGAAGGTTTTAGAGTGCTGGGCCATATCCCAGCTCAAGATTTCCTAAATGTGGTTTTGGAGGTTCCTAGACCCAGGCAGTGTCCTTTCTTTCTACATGGGATTGTAGTGAGAATAAAATGAGATGAAGAAATGCTTAGCACAGTGACAGGGCATTTCAGAGGTTGAGAGACCCAGCTACTTTCAGTTTTTGAGGCTTTTGGTAAATTTTAAAAAATTTAAAAATGGGAAAAATGCCAAATTTTAAGACTTTAGGATTGTGAAGCTGGGGACAAGTACCTTTCCTAGGCCCTTATAACAGGTCCTGATTCTACCAGTACCTCAACGGTGGAAGCAGTGATGCGTCTACATAGCACATCCTGCTCAGTCCATCATTTACTTCAACCTGTTCTTGGGACTCTCAGCCTCTGGGCACAGGGACTACATCAGTTTTATGTATTTGCTTATATTATTAGTGACCATATATGACTGGGATATGCTAATCACAGAGATCATGATATGAGAATGTTGTTAAATAAAATTTATAACAGGCCATTGGTTTGGACTGAGCTCCGGCACGAGGCCCAACAAACCAAACCAAACCAAACCAGAGTTCTTCACACTGACATTCCATGCCACAAAGCCAAAACTAAGTTGTTTTTCTGTCCTTCCAAGAAATCAGGAAAGGGAGAAATAATCGCCAAATCCCCAAACAGGCCAGTTCTAGCCAACATGATATGGAAGTTCCCTCTGCCTTAACCTTTACAAGGAAAGTAACTTTGAAATGACCAAGCTGCTTTCTGTTCTGTTTCTGCTTTTCTTAGCTCTTTTCTGTCTATACAGCCAACCTCCTGTGCTCTGCTCATTGAAACACTCATTCTGTTTTACAGAATGAGGTGTTGCCTGGTTCTGGAATCACAAATAAAAGCCAATTAAGATTTTTAAATTAAATTTGTTGTAATTTTGTCTTGTGACTTTATTTATAGTGACTGAAGCTCTAAACAAAGGATGAAAGACAAATTTGACCCCAAGTAATTGTACTTTTTTGTGGGGGGAGGGAGAAGGTAAGATTTTTGTGTAAGTCAGAAAGCATTATGGTGAGCATAGAAAAGCATTCTCTTATCTACCAGATTAGATAAATGGCTGATCTGTGGATCTTTCCAAGAATGAATCCCAAGGAATAATGTTACTAAGGCTTTCTGCCTGAGTTTGGTCTGAACTTAAGTGCAGAACACAGAGAACCAGGCAGCATGAACATATCAAAAAGAGTTTGGAGCCAAGGATCAGCCTGGGAAGAGGCAGGAAGGGGGAAGACAAATCACTCTGAGGGTCAGAATGTCCACGAAGAAAAGATGAGGTTTTGGACACTAAAGAAAAATGACTGTGCAAAAAGGAAAACAAAACAAAACCAAGCCCTATGTAAGGTTTATCTTCTACCGTGGACTAGCAGAGACATTATATAATCTATATAAATGCATGAATGTAAATATAATTAATATTCTGATAAAGCTCATATTGTAAGTTATCAGATGTTTAACTGGGAGAAATTTAATAAAGTTCTTCATTGACATTATTGGGAAAAAGCAAAAGAAATGTCAGCTCAATGTTATTTCGGTTAGGTGGACTCACAAGTGCTTGAACGCCTGTGATTAATGGATTGCTGTCAACCTGTGGAGGAAGCCTCTGGTGTCGGACTGCTGGCTTATATACTCGTCAGATCTTATTTGACATTATTAGTAAGAAATTTAATTAAGACATGGAAAGCAAGTTTACCAAGTGTAAGTGAAAGGCGGCCGGGAAGGGAGTGTTTTGTCAGAGGTGGGAAGATGGCTTACGGATACCGTACAAACTGCAGGTATGAGCAAAGCAAAGAAGCACAGAGCGAAGGAGACTGACGCCACAGTAGCTAACGCAGTAGCTAACATCACTTGGTGCCAATTTCCATGCAAGCCAGTGGTGCTGTAAGTCTAAAAGAACAATTTGGACCACAGGCTGTGGGAAATCATACTGAATAGAGAGGCTTTTGAGTCACACTGCTTGGCTCTGAAAGATCACAGCTGGAAACCATGTCAGGAGAAGAAAGTGGAGGCAAATGGTGGATGAGGAAGGGAAGAATTGGAAGAACGTGCTGTCTTCAGATAATTGAGGAGCTGAAATGTAGAAGAGAGGTGCCCTGACAACCAGTCCCTCTAGAGCATAGAACCCTGTAAATTCTGGCTTCAAAAGGCCTAACTTTGTAATGCCTTCAGCCATTAAGATATGGCATGAGTTACTTTATGGAGTACATTCCTCTTTGCTGCGTAGTCAGTGAATTCACTGAGGAATAGCCATCTGGCAAAGATATGGAGAGGAGTCTTATCTTTGAGCAGAAGGCTGGACTAGGTGATTTTTAAGATTCCCTGTGTTTTAGTTTGGGTCCCCTTAAAAACAGAGCATGCATCAAGGGTTGGATCAAGAAGATCCTCCCATACTGGGGAGGTGATATCAGGAAGTGAGTGAGTGGGGAGATGGGAGAGGAGCCATTGGGTAGGTTACAACTGTGTGCAAGGGGCTCACTCCTGCTGGAGGTCCTCTGAGAAACAGTGTAGAACGCATCGCAGAATTATGCTTTAGAGAAGGAAGACGAGGATAGTTATCCATCAATTCCCAAATCTCACTGGTTGAGGGCTGCTCCTGGGGCTGTTAACTCCAGCACACTTCCCAGACCACAGCCAACTGCCTGGAAGAAAACTCTTCCACTTTCTCCTCCTGACATGGTTTCTAGCTGTGTTTTTCAGGCCTGAGCAGCATGACTGATTCCGAGTCAGAACAGCTGAGAATCACTGGGCACTTGAGGTGGGAGCTGCCAGCATGCAGAGGCACTGCTGCAAAGACACAGGGGCCCAAGGGGATTGACACAGAAAAGAAGTGCTGCCGCAGTGCCTTCTTAGTCTATGATTTTTGTGCTTTAAAAAAGGCAAGAGCCCCCAGCATTCTTTGTCCACCACTATATCTCAAGTTCTAGCAGAGGTTACTAGAAGCAAAAACGGAAGAGACTGCAGTGTTGTAACACAGGGAAACAATTTCACATCATGTGTTATGCTAAAGATTTGAGAAGAAATGAAAATCAAAGCATAGAATCAACCTTATCCTACAAATAAACACACAAACAATCCCCCTGAAGAATCAAACAAACCAAACTTTCCTGCCTACCTAGCAATATTTACTTACTTTCCATTTCTGATTACTTCTGTCATACATTTTGCACATTTTAACATTTACAGAATTGGCATGTCATATTTTAATTAGCAGTGTTGTTCTTTCTTGGTGGAATATTAAATAATGATGTTTCTTACAAATTATGGTGTTTTAGATTTGACAAAATATATTATCCCTGATATTCTCAACTTAAACTGGTATTTGCAACTTAAACTGATATTCAGTTCCTTTGCTGGCTAATTCAGAACCGAAATAATCTCCTGTCACCAAAGCTTAGATGAACCTCAATTTTAACACATTGTTTTCAGAGAAAAAACAGAAATTTAAAGAAATTGGAATTATTACTGATTCAATATAATTAGAAAACTTTGCAAAAAGAGAAAAAAGAGCCTGAAGAATTGCTATTATTTAAAATGAGTGATGGTTAGTGATAAGACACACACTAAATGAAGAAGGTAATGAGCGAGATTCACCAGTGGCTTCCTCAGATATTAGTCAAATTTTACACAAAGGCAGTATTCATTTTAGATTTCCTGAGAGAAGTTATTCCTAATGAACAGTTTTTAAAGACAGCTAACTTTCTAACAAAGAGTGCTTGAGAATGAAAGAGTGTAATTAAAGCATTTGCTTGTTCTCATTCCCTGAATTCCCTCCCACTCTTTTCAGAATGAGTCTTAAAATTAGACATTGTTTGATGCATATCTGGGAGGGCACCTCCTCTCGCATCCAGCACACAAAGCATTCAATAGATTAGTTTGGGAAGATGGTACACCATATTTAGCAAGAAGAGACCCAAGAGGTGACAATTAAAACAACACACTGGGCAGATGGAAAGCTTATAGAGAAACCTGACAATAGCAAAGAAATATCCTCACACAATGTAATTCTTCTATAAGTTCTTTCTAAAAGTTTGATCTAAGTAGCTAATTTTCTCTAAGTAAAAACATGTACTATCATTTTAACACCCAAAGACTCAGAGAAAAAAACCAAGTAGTGGTTTCTTGAAACAAACAGAGCTGAATATCCCCAAGTTGCCAGTAAACCTTTGTGAGATTAAACGATCACATTTCTATAGTCATGGGAACTTAATTTTATCATATGCCCTTCTAGATATCTCCTTCAATATCCAAGTCTATCAGTAGGTATATTTTATATTATTATTATATAAAGCAAAGTTGAAGCTAGGGATACAGAATGACTTAACTGAAACACACAGACCCAGATGGAAAAAACTCTGGTCAAGGCTTCAAAAAGTTGATATGGCATATTTATGGGTATCACTGAATAGTTTTTACTAAGACATTTATCTATAAGAAACACATGCAAATTAAAACATCACCTCTACAGCTTCCCAGGCCCATTTCCTGTACTTTGGATCATGAGTCAGTCGCCACATATACATGTAAGTCTCAATAACTTCTGGCCGTAGGATGTAGTATTTTTCATTTTGCCTTGTAGCAATGGCTTCAACACCACCGTCAAATCTGAAAGCTTCTGGCCCCAGTTTCATAACTAAAACATGCAATGGGTGAACAAGGGTTATTGTCCTGGACAATGCTTAGAGTCTAGAAAGTAATAACATTTAAGAGAGATGCCAAAACACTTGTTTTAAGGAATAGTTATAATCATCATATACTATGTAATATTCAATGTACTTTTAAAATTTAGTCATCTAAGAGTCCATTTCAGAAAATGGTAATGATCCTTTGTTTTTTTCATTTAACTCCCATTTACTGAGCACCCCCCAGGTAGGAGCAAGTCACCACCAGATACCTTGTTAGTTAGCTGGACACTCAGTGGTTGAGAATACCAAGCCATGATGTCACAAAAGGACAGTTATTTAATCTTTGTGCTCGAAACTCATGTTTCATAAGAAGGGAGCCACGTTCATCATTGATTTCATAAGGACACGGCGAAGATTAATAATGGATTATAAAATGCTTTCTTTATGCACTGGGACAGGGACCCTCACCCATTGTTATTTAGCTAAGGCAGTGGTCAGTAAATTAGGCTGACTTAACCCTTGATGGCCTGGATTTTCGTTTCTTGGCAAACTAAAAGTAAAAATATAAATTCCTTTAAGATATTAATCATGATCAAGTTTCATTAGGCACAGTGGATATTCTTTTGATGGTAGCAATGACATGGTTCCTTACTGAATGAAATCAAAGCATGTGGGACTAGATTGTAAGTAAAGAATAATATATACTCACATGTGCGATTATAAGATTCATGACAGGTACGGGCAATTTCAGCCCCAAGTTCAAGGTAGTGTTGGGCCAGGCCTTCGGGAGCTCCGTCTGCCCCGAGTGCAAACATGCCTCCAGCAAAGCAGGTCAGGTGGCCCATCTTATGTTCCAGGAGGCCTCCTTTCCACTCCGCGATGTAAGTGAGTCCCCCACTAGACTTGCGGATCAAGTGAGTCTCAATGGCCTAAAATAATACCTATTTTTAACATTTTGTAATATCTTCTCAAATTTATACTAAAAATAGCCCCAACATTGAAAAAATAAGATAAAATATGACTCACAATTTGATTTTGGTATTACAAATACAATTCAACCTAAAATTTTATCTTATTGCTTTCTGTATTCTTCCTCTAGTCTCTGCCTTGTTAGTTTGGTTAATTAGAATTCAATTAACTTTGTTGCGCCAGCTCAGGAGGTTTTGCTTGGTTCCATGATTAAACACTCATAGTCCTCAAATTAAAAAAGCTGTCCCCTTCTCAAAGACAGGCCACTAGTGCAGAAGTAATATTTGGTCTAGTGCATTTTTATTTTCACAAGTGGAGACACAACACAAAGGCCAGGCCTTACTGTAGATCAAGAACAGAGCATATCTGTGCACAAGGTACAGGCTAGTGGCACTCGCTCCCCTAAGGCAGTGAGGGGTAGAAAATTAGGGTGGCAAAGAAGAGCTCTGTTTTGGAGTCAGACTATTTGGCTTCAAGTTCTAGCTGACACTTACTTTCTGTGAGTAATTTGTGGGTGTGGGCAACTTGCTCTAGATCTCAGTATCTTCATCCATAAAATGGGAATAATGTTCTTTAAAACTAGATAGAGAAATAAAATAAGGCTTATATTTTAAAAAGCAAAAATGAAGTGCGAGTATTTGGAATTACTGATTTCTAATTACTCTAACAGAAAATGCTCCCCCTGCCTTGATGACTACATAGAAGGAAAAAAGCTGTGACTGTCTATACCTGTATACTGCTATCAAAAAAGAGAGAGTTTTAGGAAGCACAGGTGGGAATAGTAGTTACAGGAAAAAACTTGTGATAGAGAAGAATAAATGAAAATGAATAAGCAGGCAGATAAAACTTTTCTTAACTTTATTAGAAGTAAACAAATGGAACCAAGATAGTAAGAAATAAACGAACACACTACTGTGTTCATTAACTGTGGTTAAGCTAATTTTATTGATGATTTAGTTATTACATTAATATTTCATTTTTATTTAATGCAACTGAACATTTTAGCTATTTATACTTCTCATTACACAAATTGTAGTAAAGTCCTTCAAGCAGATACTTGTTCATCACCCAAGAAATTATTCTTTCTACATGACAAGAGTAATAGCTTTTGAGCATGGATTAGAGAAACATTATTACCCTGTTATTGATCCTTAATAAAATACTACATTATTCTGGCATGATTCTGACCAAGTTGCTACCTCTCAAAATAAACTACGAGTGTACTTCAAAAAGTTCGTGGAAAAATAGAATTAAAAGATAATACGAATCTTTCTATGAACTTTTTGAAGTACCCACGTATGATAAAGTTCCAAGACCTTTAAAGCAATGGTTTTGTGTAGTAATGGGAAAATGTAAATAAGACCAAAGAAGGAAAAATAGTCTTTAGTGGCTCTAAAAAAATTTCGTGTCCAGGCTACAGAGAATCGAGTAGGAAAAAAGAGTACTATATATTTTGTGATTTCACCTTTCTATATTTGAAAAAAATATTAGTTTGATGAAGCCTTTAGTACCCTAAATGTCTGATACATTACCTGCCCAGGTATCACTCACCATGGTGGATGCTCAGTGTGGTCTTCCAGATAGGGCCATAATAGCCAGTTGAAAGTGTAAAGTATTTTGTTATTAAAACAACCAAAAAAATGCTGGGATTAAATGCTTTCCTAAACCAAAAACACTCTGGGATTAAATGCTTTCTCAAACCTACTTGAAGCTAAAGCTGAGAAACCACATCTCCAGTAAGTCAACTGTCCAGAACAATAATGTAAGGCATCCTCTCCTGATAACAATGATATCTTGAAGTACAACTTAGTAGAAGAAACTTTGCTACAGAAGGCATTGCTACTTCTCAAGATCAGAAGTTTAGTTGTTCTAGCTTTGCTTTCAAAATTGAAAATATACAATGGATTGAAAATGTTTTTACTATTAAGAGAAACAGAAAACACTTTGACTTCATGCGATCTTAATGAATTTTCCTGTGAATGATTTATCTGGATACGATATACTAAAAGTTGTCTGGGCACAGTTCTAGAAACTGGGGGAAAATTATTTCAAAGAATACTTTGAAGCTGTCTTTGTTGTAATATCAGTATCTTAGAGGGCCACTTTAAGATTAGAATAATTAAAATATCTACTAGTGTGGAAACCATCATATACGCAGAAGAACTTCCTAGGTTAAAACCTGGAACCTCATAGAAATGAGGAAAAATAAATGTGGAAGAGGCTATGTGGATCATAGCCTACTTCAGTTTTGATGTTCAACATGCGCCTTAATAAAAGTTGTGCCAAATGAAGGCCAATGTTCTGAGGCGCTTCTGGTTCCTAGATGTGAAGTAGTGAAAAGTTGTATGTGCTTTCCCTAGTGAAGCTCCCAACTAACCTTGGGAGAAAACTAATAATACTCAATCCAGATGAGCAGAGCAAAGCATGCTGCATTTACACTTTAATAAATAAGTCAGCCTATGTCAAAATCACCCAGTCCTCCTGTTAGGAAGACCAATCTTAGAACAATGGTTACATTACTGGGATTACAAATTTCCGGTGTTTCCTAAGAATTAATACTCTTGATTATAAAAAAAATTTCTAAGCAGTCAAGAAAAAGGTCAATTTTCTGAGGATTTAGCCACAATTTTACCTTATTTGAGAAGCCTTGACAATAATGAATATTAAAAGAACCTATGTGAGTTACCATGTAAAATACTTATCAATCACAAATGCACCCGATTCTGCTAAAAAAATTTTATTTATCAAAAGTTGGGGACAAGTTCAAGTATTTTATATAAAATAATTTTCTTCTTGACTTTATTTTCTAATTTTATTTTTATTTTTGATTGAGGCTTAATTGGAGGTATTTCTTAGTTTACTTATACACTGGTCACCTCCTATAGACTTTACTAAGTAGTTTCTAACTTATCCTACTAACTTACTGCCTTTTAAGTAAACATTTAAATGTATTATGGAAATTCTGATTCACAAATCAATCTATTGTAGTTAGTAAAAACTGATAGGTATTGACAAATTTTAGTCTGAATTTTGGTCTCACACTTAACCTTTCCGAGGTTCAGCAGGCTTACCTGTGAAATTGTGACTAGTATCTAAAGTCCTGTGAGCAAACCCCACCCCACCCTACCGCTTCATTTAAAGTATCTAACACGCTGGTTAGCACGCAGCAGGGAATTCAACACACATTTGTTCCCTATATTCCTCTTCCATTATAAAGGCTTTTTTTTTTTTTTTAAAGAAATAGAATTTATTCCTTATAGTTTTGGAGGCTGGGAAGTCTGTAGTCCAGGGGTGCAGCTGGGGAGGTTCTTGTTCTACAGTGGTACAGGTTGTCACATGGCAAGAGCAGGCTGAGCAACAGACAGCTAACCTCCTCACTGGCTCTAATCAAGGATCTTTGAAAACTATTAATAATATTCCCTTAAATGTTAGTTTGTTCATATTTTTATATGTGATCTACTTAGAGTACTCTCCATATGTCTCTGGAGACAAGTTTACGTCAAACAGAGGTAGCCACTGGGACTTTCTATAACCTTGGGCAATTTTAACTTGGACAATTTTCAGAATATTGTGGTTCTAAGGAGGGAACTCATATTCCTGAAAGAAGAATACCTCTTTTTCACATATGTGACTCTTAGCTGAGGTCTGAACCATGTAAAAAACTTTTAACAGCCCTGTTAGAACTAAACATGTCAAGGATGATTACTATTGTTATTATTATATTAGCAGACACTGAAGTCTACCAAACTGGAAAGATTTTGTAACCCACTCATGTGGTTTTCTATTTCTTCATTAAGCTTGATTAATATGAAAGTTATAAGTTAGAGCGGAGTGGAAAAGGTGATTTAAATATTGGGTTACCTGAACAGCATCAAAATACATCTTCTTAGCTTCTAGATCTGTCTTGTCAGACATTAACCATGCCTTTAGCAAATATTCATAAAAGCTGTCTCCAAGTCCTCCAACTGATACATGATCTGAAAAAAGAAGGATATGAACTTTAAAGTGATTCAGTCTTTAATTCAGATAATGCAGCAAAATCACATTAGCAACTCTATGTCAAATGCAACTCAATGTTACATTTAAATTTCAACAAATCTCTTATTTTAAGAAAGATATTCTGAAATGAGCAGATGTGCTGTTAACTAATGTGATATACTCTAAATAATTACCAGGGTAGTTTTGCAAAACATGAGGATAAAAGATATGTAATCATCCCTTATTCTAAAATTTGGTTCTCTAGTGAAAAATACCAAATTGAAATGTTTCACAGTATATATTTAAATAAATCTTATTTGCTTTAGTTCTCAATCATATAAAATTCTGTCAAAGCTATGACTATTAGCAAATCTTAAAAAACATGGCTTTCAATAAATAAAACAAGAAGTTCCTCAGGTTCTTGCCTTTATTACTATTATTTGTTTTCTAGTGTTACCAATCTGAAGGGTCAAAAACCTATGGGGCTGGGGCAGCAGGAAAAAAAGATAGGGCAGACGTTTTTCCTCCTAACACTCCATTCCTGCAGTCTACCTCCACTGCCATAGATCACAACAGATCACTGCATATATTACCAACAACCTTGCAACTGTGGGATAGGTATCCTCATTTTAAAAATGGCAAAAATGAGGCTTCCAGAGGCTCCATGAGATGACAATGCTGATAAGTGCCACCTGACTCCACAACCACATAGGGTCTCACATTTGGGTATGCTTGCTCCCCACCATATAACACCAAGTGTACTCTTCTGCCTACCGCTGGAATCAATACTTTTATTTTTCAAGCATGTTTGCTTACAAAAATGGAAATCTATTTGAAACGTAATTCCCAGATTTTAGAGAATTTGAACATAAACAAGACAGCCTTTTAAGCTTCATAACTCAAAGGTAATTTTATTTATCTTTTTCTAAGAAATAATACCTTTATTTGTTGACTTATACAAAAGTCAACTGTTATATTAAAGTAAATCAGTATTCATACATCTGTCAAGTCAATTTTTCCCCTGATGCCTGCCCAACAACCCCACTTGAATGTCTATATGGGAACCTAAAATTGAACAGGTTAAAAACTAAATTCATTATCTTCTCCTCCTCAACCATATCTTCTGATCTGGTCTCCATCCCCTCATCAATACATATTAGAAGTCAGGTAGTCACTCCTTCCTTCTTCTCTCTCTCTCACTCGCATATCCAGTGAGTTACCAAAGTCTTCTAATTTTACTTCCCATATATATCTTGTCCTCACCAATAAGCTCCTGGCTCAAGTAACCACTATCTCCTGCCTCTAAGTCTGCAGTGGCTAACGATCTGGTTTCCTGCTTTCACTCTGATAGCAGGGGTTATTTCAATTCAAATTAATTAAATAGAAAGTTCAGTTCCCCAGCCATGCTGGAGTTCACTAGCTACATGTGGCCCTTGCCTACTATCCAGGTCAAGGAAGATATAGAACAACATTCTTGTCATTGCAGAAAGCTCTAATGGCAGGGCCACTTCAGCCTATTTGTTACGTTACTGTGCTAGTAACCCTCCTAACATGTGAATCTGATTCTCCCCACACCCTCTTACTTGAAGGCCTGCAGTCCTGGATCTCTGAAGACCTGGGAAGCCCTGCTGCAAGATCCCAATCTTCTCTGCATCACCCGTCTTGCTCCACTTGCTCTCTACTCACTTGCTATCTGGCCCTTCTTTCGGTTCCTCAAAAATATCGAGGCTCCTGAAGGCCTGTTTCTCTCTGTCTCAAACATCAAAAACATCCCACCTCAGGGCTCCTGCAGGCCTTGTTCTCTCTGCCTGAAATGCACTCCGTGACCCCTTACCCCTTCTTCTGTAATTCTTACTCATATTTCACATCTGGGATCAAAGGGCACTTCCTCAAAGAAGCCTTCCCTGCACCTCCACTAGGTTCTCTTGTCATATGCTCTTTGATAGCACACATTTACCACACTTACAATTTCATAATGTAGTAGAGTTTTTTTCTGTCTCCTCCACAAGGTGACAATCCAAGAGGGTGGAGACCAGGTCTTTTATGTTTCCCAGTCTACACCAGCCCCTAGGAAGCATCTAGCATGTGGTAGGTACTCAATAAACAATTAATGAACAGAGCACAATTCTTCTAAGTCAACCTTAATAAGTCTATTCCTAGTCAAGCTAGAAGGGCCATATTTTTAAGTACTTAAATATGTGACTTTCTTATTGCAGAAAGTCCAGAATTATAGTTTTAATTTTAATGTTAAAATGTGTTTTTAAAATTATAAGACTAATACTTAAAATAGCAGTGTTTAAAGTGACCTTTACAGTTTCCTAAATAAATCACCACAGAAACCTCTGACATTTGCAAACTAAATAGACTAAATGCTATCTCATCAATAACAAGCCCTGCTGTTATAAACATGACCGGAGGAGACAAATGCAAACCATGCAAGGTAAAGCAGATCACGGTTACTGTCGAAATAACAAGGACTAAATGAAGTAACAGGAAACGATGGCCATGATCCAGACATGTCCTTCAGAGTTAAAGCAATGAGAATTGAAAACTAACAGCCAGAAGCAGCTTGATATTTTCCCCTCCTTGGGTTATGATTCTGTAATGGACAGAAGTAGCAAGTTAGGGCATCTGGGGATTTTTTTTTTTTTTAAAGGAAAAAGGGTTACATAATAATACATTTGTTTTAATTAATTTTGGTAAGTGCTAGTTAATTTTCTTTTTTTATTTCCTGCCTATTAAAATTTCATATTTGGGAAAAAATCAAAATAAAAGAACATAAAGGAAGAAAACATGCCTTTTTGATAATTTAGCCCATCATTCACTAAGCTCCCCCTGGGTCTGGAGGACTGTTTGCATTGGCAACAAGTCCTATGTAAACATTTTAGTGAATATGGGAGAGAACATGCCTGATTTTATCAGCAGGAAGGGACCACCTACTTTTAGAAAGAATATATACGGTATTTTTATGTCCAACTGCTCTAAAGGTAATGCGTACTATAGGCACTCAAATATTATGCTCTTCTCTAAAGGCGTAATTTATTTTTTTCTTCCTGATAGGAAAAGGTCCCATAAAAGGATTCCTAATATCTAAAAAAGAGAAAAAATAAAACAAATAACAAAAGAATCAAGACAAAGAAGGATTAAAATACTCGGTATTTCTATTTTAAAATTTTTTTGTCAACTTCATCTGAATTTCTCTCCTTGAAGCAATTCCCCAATGATGCTAGTGGCACTATATATATATATATATATACACACACACACACACACACACACACACACACATACTCACACACATATATAAAACTATATACACATATATGTATATATGTTATATAAATCAAAGGGTGAAAATTGTCCTGTGCATAGACACAGAACCCTGCATCTGGCCTCAATGGTCACAAGGTCTGTTCATATTACTGGTGGCCAGGGCCAGATGCTGCCTCTAGCCACAACTGAGGAGAAGGGGCAACTGCTAAAAGAGATTAAATAGGAACATTATTAAAAGTAATGCCAGAATGATAGATTGGATACTGAGAACATGAGTATTCACAAAATTCAAGTAAGTAAACACATACTAGGTGCAAGATATGTGTCCTGCATTAACAAATATGACTAAGACATGGTTACCATCCTCAAAAGCTTTGGATCCCTAGGAACAGAGGTATGCATAGTATATGAATCATCAGGAAAAGGACTGTGATAGGAAAGTACCCAAAGTGCCAGCGAAAGGGAGGAAGAAATAGAAGAGGAGGAGATGCTCACACATTCCAGCTAGGGCCTTGAAGAAGGCCTCTAGAAGAAATGGTAATTGAGCTGAGCCTGGTAAAGGCAGAGGAGAGACAGAAGGGCCAAGGAAATGGCTCAGTAAAGACATGGATAAGGCCAAGCAGGCCTTGACTAAAGAATAAAATGTGTGTCTTCCTTGTGGCTGGGACACAGGATGGGCTTGGGGGGAGAGAGATTTGGGACTCATCAATCCTGTTTGCTTTTCCATCAGGAAATTGGTCCATAAGCAATCCAAACATAAAGGACTCTTTGTACCAGGAAACATGGTCAAATACATAGCATGTGGGTGACGCTGAGGGTGAAGCCGGGATGTTCCAACACAACTGGCTCCTTTTGTCCCTCTTCATTGTGATTTTTAAATCCTAAACCACAGGAAGAAAATAATAAACCAAAGAGATTGTCTTTAGCAAAAGACTCCAAAAATGCTCGTCTTTTTAGAGACTTGTATCTAGTCATCTTGTACTTAGACAGCTACAGAAGTTCTGTTTTATATTCTAGTGGCCCTCAAACTTTTAGTCTCAGCACCGTTCATGCTCTCAAAAATAAATGAGCAACCAAAGAACTTATGTATGTGAGTAATATCTACCAAAATTTATTATATTGAAAAATCAAAACGGAATTTAAAAATATTTTCTTCATTCATTTAAAATAACAATTATATACCCACTAGGTTAACACATAGTTATTTTTTGTACAAATGTTATGTTTTATAAAATAAAAAAAATTAGTGAGATGACTGACACTTTTTTACATATTTTGCAAATCTTCAATGTTTGCTTTACCAGAAGATAGCCGGATTCTCATATCTGCTCTACATTCAATCCTTTGCTAGATGTTGTTTTGGCTAAAAATATATGAAGAAAAGTCAGCCTTACACAGTCTCATACAGTTGGAAAAAGGAAGAGTATTTTAATAGTCTTTTTAAAATAACTGTGGATATTTTTCTTTGATACTACAACAGCACTTGACAAATGTTTATTTTAAAGGTTAAGGATTTTTAAAGCTTAGTTGCAATGTGGAATTAGAAACTATACCAATACATTTTTGTACTCTGTTACATTAAAATCTACTGGCCCATCTTGCACTTTGTATGGGTCTTTTTCTCACGCATGATTTTGTAATAGCATGCATTGGTAATTTGAAAAACAATGGTTCACTGAATTATGCAATCTTCCAAATGTTGCATATTTCATTACACAATATCAAAAAACTACATTTGTTAATACCACCACCAATGTCATCAGAAAAGTGTTGGTGTTAAGTTGAGGGTGGCATATACAAGTTTTCCTAAATTCTAATTTTTATTTAGGAACTCAAATTTTATAATCATTGGCACAAATACTGTTACTTTTCCTTGAAGTGAGAGGCTCACTTTTGAGAACATGTCTACCAATTACCCTACTTTGAGTAACCAGTTTGTTTTAGTTGTACACTCAAGTAAAAATGGTGATCCATGAAAAAATAAGCAGCTAGTTCAGGTCATAACTAAATCACATTAGAGCTTTTTCTTGAGGCAAATTCTACTTTTCACTATGCAGCACAAGTGCTTTTTCTATACTTTCCATTTTATCACACAGAACATTACAAAGACATAAAGGTTTATATTTATCAGAATCAATAATTTTTTTACTGCTTCATTAAGAACATTCAAGAGAAAATGGCTTTTTAAAAAAAAAACTACTGTGAAGAATACAATGAGTATTAATACTACTTGGTGTCTACCTTGGTTCTCACTGAGGCTTCAGTGGTTTTACCCATCATTGTTTTTGTAACGTAAGTGCAAATGTCAATGCAGTAAAAAAGGGAGAAAGTCTTACATTATCATAAAAATAGTTTTGACCTTTTGGACCCGCTGAAAGGTCTCAAGGACTTTCAGTGACCTGTGGACCACTCATAGGTAAGTGGCAAACTTGATTATGGCCTAAGGCTTCAATAGCTAGGCCTTCTATAGCTATTAATAACATGCAGACAAGGATTTTAGCACATTTTTTCCTACTAAGTTATTCTTTAAAAAAAGTACTTCAAAAGTAACAGTGAAGAATAATCATCTAAGAATACAATATTTAAATATAAAGAAAAAAACCCATATTAGAGTAAAATTTACTGCAGTGCTAATATCCTCAGTACAGCTAGGCATCTCATTTAATACTCTTCACTTGTTTTCAGTTGCTACTTAATCTACCACTGTTTCTCCAAATCAGCTTGAGAACATTTCTTTCAACTCTTCAGAATCTTTATAGCCCTGGTCACAATTCTCTGAAAGGTCAAAAGTGAGGGTTCCTGGCATCGAAAGCCCTTGTATAATACTTTCTCCTACACTAAAGGTAACTCCATCAGCAAGAAACGTTTATCTGGTGGCTTAAAATTGAGTAGAGAAAACACCCTGTTTGCTCTTCCAATTTTCTAACTCTATAAGATTCAGGCTCCTCTCTCATCTTGTAGCCTTGCAGAAAGAGAGAAAATGTTATGAAGTCGAATGATCTAGCTACTGTGTATAAAACTCTCAGAGTCATTAGCACATAGGAATAAATTTCCTTTCTATCCACATGACCAGCTTGTTACAGGCTAACATCCCCACACCATCCTGACCAGATCTTCCCTTTATGATTAATAGCTTCAAATGTGCTTATATGTCATCATACTTACAGTTGTACATAAAAAAATAAACAATTTTGTTTCCTGGTAACACAATCTGTTTTATGATGGAAGCCCGCTTATTAAAGGAATGATGTTCCTTTTCTAAACATTCCTCAACAAAAATTGTGCTTCTTTTGTGCTCTCTCTCTGCTACCAGAACAGTGCTGGGTACTGTAAAGAGCTATAACAATGCTAATCTTTTTACTTACGCTGACCCCACTGTCCACTACTGGGATTCAGATAGTTAGGATAAAGGCCTTGTGGTTTTTCCAGCTTGTTCAGTACTGTTCGAATATTCATTACCTACAATAGAAAATCAAATGTTATTCTAAAAATCTAAAAAACAGTTTTTGTGCCATTCTTCTCTCTTTCTTGATTATACTTTTCCATTTGAGAAAAAAAGAGCCAATTTATTAATTAATTTACTTATAAATTTTCTGTAAAATTTATTGGGAGCCAAATGTGAGGATAGACCCAGGAAGTACCATCTGACACAGAGATGTGCTCCCCAAAATGAGTTGATTTAAATGATGTAGAGTTAGAACAAAGATAGTTGCCATCAACTTATTATCATTACAAAAATGACAGGAGTAAGTGGACTGATTGATTATCTACCACATGCTAGATGCTACTACCAGGAACTAGGGATATATTGGTAGATAAACAAAGTCACTACCATCTTGGAATTCTGCATTCTAGTGGGATGAGACAGACAACAAATAATATGTATAGTATATCAGGAGATAATCAATGCTGCAAATATCAAAATAAAAAAGGATGCTATTGACTGAAATGTGTCACCCTGCTAAATTCATATGTTGTAGTCCTGACCCCCAATATGATGTCATTTGGAGATGGGGCCTTTGGGGGTGATTAGGCCATGAGGGTAGAGCCTTCATGATGGGATTAGTGCCCTTATAAGAAGAGACACAAGACAGCTCTCTCTCTCTTTGTGTACAAAGAAGAGGTGATGTGAGTGCACAGCGGGACAGTGGCCACCCTCAAGCCAGGAGAAGAGGCCTCAGAATGAAACCTGCCTTGTCGACACCTGGATCTTGGAACTTCCCAGCCTCCAAAACTGTGAGAAATAAACTTCTGTTGATTCACTCACTCAGTCTATGCATTTTTGTTCTGGCAGCCCGAGCTGACTAAGACAGAGGGTACTGGGACAGAGCGCAATGTGAGGTGGAGAGCTGTGAGCTCACAGGGTGGTCTGGGAAGGCGGATGGTTTGAGCAGAATTTTAAAATGACGGAGTAAGTCATGCACAAATTTGGAGGAAGAGCAATCTGAGCTGAGGGAGGAGCAAGTACAAAGGCCCTGAGAAGAGAGCAGTAAGGCCACTGAGGCCGAAGGTGTGGAAGCAAAGGCAGCACGTCAGCAAGCAGAGGACAGCGAGCCGGTGCCCAGGTCACAAGGGCCTCACCAGCCACAAGAAGGGCTCGTTTTTCTCTGAGTGGCATGAGAAGCTTGTGCTTTTACAGGATTAGTGTGACTGAGGGGGCAAGAGAGAAAGGGTAGCCAGGTGCTAGTTCAGAGTCCAGGGGAGAGATGAGGGACCCTGGACCAGGGTGGCAGCAGAGCTAACAAGGCAGAACCAAAGGATTCCTCGGACCTGGGGTTTACTGAAAAGAAGAACCAGGATGACCTCAAGATCTTTGGCCTGAGCCACTGGGTAAACTGAGGTGCTATCTACCAAGATAGTGAAGAATGAAGTAGGAGCAGGTCTCAGGGTTGGGTCTGAGGCATTTAAGTGGGACTTGCCTATTAGACCTCTTAGTGGAGATGTCAAATATGCGTTGGATATGGAGTCTGGAGTTTAGGGGACAGGTTGGGACTGGAATTATTAAATTATTAAATGTGGAGACAGTAGTATAGAGATGTATATAAAGCTAAGACACTGGATGAGATAATGTAAGCAGTGGATATAAAAAAAGAAGATGCAGAGGTTGGAGTGCTGAGGCTTTCCAGTATTTAGAGGTTGGGGTATTAAGGAAAATCCAACAAAGGAGACTGAGAAGGAGCTACCAGCAAGAAAGGAGGCAAACCTGGAGAGTATTACATGCCTGCAGCCAAGTGCAAATAGTGTCTTAAGAAGGAGGAACTGACCAACTGTGTCAAATGTTGAGAGGGCAAGGAAGAGGAGGGGGGAGGACAGAGAACTAACTTTGGCAATGTGCTGCTCCCTGGTCACCGTGACAGGCGTGGCTGGGAGAAAAGACAGACTGGACAGGGTTCAAGAGAGGGGGAGGCTACAAGAGAAGACAGCAAACAGAGACAACTCTTTCAAGGAATTTTGCTGAAATAGGAGCTGAAAAGTAGGGTGAAAGCTAAGGGCAGAGTGGTGGGATGAATATAACTTTATCCTAAAAATCAGAAATTAGTTCACGTCCCACCTCACATTTGTATAACACTTTGAGTTTCTCTTTCATACACTTGGTTCACATAGACCATGCAATACTAAATATTTTTAGATAAGGAAAAAAAATCAGGCAGGTGAAATAACTGACTCTCTTAAGGTAGAGAGAACCAAGCGTGGAAGCCAGGCCCTCTCACCCTGGGTTAGAATGGTGCTATGGAAAGGCTGGGTTTACAGTTTGATTAAATGAAACACTGCATGTTACAAAACTTCGTGAAGAGCCATATTAAGCTTGATTTTTATTTTCCACATCCAATACTACTAAATCTCCCAGGAGAGGATATTGCTTCCCACAAGTGCTGCTTTGCTATGCAAGGTGTATTGGAGAATCTCACCTTTTCAGCAAAGATGGGGTTTCCTGATAAGTGGCTCAAGTGCATAAACTCCAAGTGCAGGGTTCCAAATTCTGCCAGAATACTGCTGCCTCCTGAGGCCCAGGGCCAGTTCCTTCCAATACCACTGAAGAAGAGAAGACATTGAAGAGCTGTGGGTCAGACTAATTCCATTTTTCACAGTTCTAAATAGTAGAAGTGGAAGAGACAGCTTTTTAATAGAGGTGTTGTGGCTAATAGCCCACTCTGGATATTCTAAAACCGAGTCTTATTTTCTTTGGCTACAGGTTTTAGGCTTTGACTTCTGTCTCCAAATTGAAAATGAGTGTTGACTTAAGTCAGAAAGAAGTTGCTATGTGTTTGCTGTTGATGAATGGACAAAAATTTTGGAAGGTACAGAGAAGCTATAGAGAGATATACAGCAATTCCAAGTAGAATACAAAACAAAATCAGACCAAAACACTCTCACCATGCCCCAAACCCCCATAAAGCCATTCAACATTTTAATTTCAGACTGACATTCCATGGAATTTCAGACATTCACATTAGATACAAAATTTTATTTGGCTAGAAGATACGTTTCAAACGTCCATTAGTTACATACTCACTTTGCCTCTCTCCAAATCCTCCCTCCATCTACTTACTAGACTTCCTTTCTTATGTTTACCTTCACACTGTTTTATCTATTTTCTAAGAGTATTTTCTAATGCACAAACTCATTCCTTGTCCTATTTAATCTATGCTCAAGAATCTCGACAAAATTATGTTATATGAATCTGAAAGGGGTCACAGGCATAAGCTTCAAAAATTATTGCCTGGTGGCTCATCTTGGAGAAATGCTTTTTAAAAAGAGTTTTTTTTAAAAAAAAGAGTCATAAACACATATACACAAAAATATACATAAAGCGACCCTTGAGACATCACATACTCGTATAGTTTATTTCTAGAAAGCTACTTCAAACTTCAAGACATATGTGGTAATTCAAATAAAGAATAAAGTCAGTTATTCTCCTGACCAATAAATTCCCTTTGCAATACCTGAACACCCACATTTTGGTTTTAGTTCACATGCACATTTATTGCATGCCTACTATTTGCCAGTGACTATACATGGCATTGGACATGGTCATGACAATAAATCACTATTTTCTCAAAGACCTTTTACTGTAATGGGAGAGAAAGACCTAGGCATAAATAACTCCAATTGGATACAATAAATGCCAAGATAAATGAGTGAAGAGTTTTTTGAGCACCTAAAGCCAGGACATGCAAACCAACATGGTGGGGATCATGAGGGCTTCTACAAGGACACTCCTGAGTTGATTCTCAAAGGAAAAGTAAGAGCTAGTGGGAAAAAAGTGGTGAGAGGGAGAATCTGGGCATGGAGAGAACACACAAGCAGAGAGGCTAGCGGGGAACTAGAGGTGGTGCCTGATCCTGGGAACAGAGGGGAGGGAAGGCAGCGGGAGAGGCTACGAGGATAAGCCAAGGCCAGGTCTTGGAGGCTTCTGGAATTCTCATTTATTTCTCTTCCCAAGGTATACCCATATAAATGCTGGTCCTTGTGTCTCCTAGATTTCCTAACCAACTCCCCTTTGTGTTTTACCTCTTATCAGTCCCTACTATGGGTGAACCCTTCAGTCCTGTCATGCTTCTGCTGCCAGGCTGCTGAAGGCGGCTGAAGAAAAGGAAATCAATGAGGATGCTGGGGCCTGGAATTCTGGGCTAGCCTCATTCTTATTCCCTCTTCCTTTTTCCAGCAAATTCTGGATTTTGTTCCAAAACACATACGTACAGTACACCTAATAAATATTAAACAGAAATAGAGTACAGAGATCTGAAAATCATATGTTTCATTTATTTTAGAAAATGCTCTAAATTTATCAGGTTTTGAAAACGGGAGTCAGTTTTTATTTTCATAGTTGGCTTCAATGAAAGGAATATCCAATCATCCAAATAGGAGGAACAGCTGCTTTCAGATTTTATTATCATATGGCAAATGCACATAGTAATTGGTCATTAATTTGTTGTCATGACATATCAATTTTTTATTCCAATCATCCTATCACTGACCAAAGTCGATAAGCCTATTGATCAAAACTACAAATTTCTATGGTCTAGAGAAATATAAAAAACAAAGTCACAACGTAAGGGAATAACAGGGTAAGAGGTAAGGATGACTTCATCCTGGAGAGGGAAGAGCACAGGGTGCTGAGGAAGCCCAGCCTACCTTCCAGAACTTCAGGGACTGGTTCTTTTCAGTTCAGGGGGCAGGAGGGCATGGTAGCACACTCAGATGCAAAAGTTTAGCAGTAGTAAATGTACTAAACTGAAACTCAAATTGCTTTCATATCCACACATTTGTTCCCTTCCAATAATGTGGTGAATCAAGAGAAAATCAGAGATATACTGAAAAATTCTCAATATGTTAAAAAACTAAGATTTTAAAAAATATATTCTCCCTTCCTCCTTCTTTGCACACATTCATACCAGAGGAAAAACAGCACTCTTTGCTGTCACTGTTTCTATAGGGAGCGAGGACATTAAAAGGACTAGAGCGAAGGATGTCACGCTAATGGAAAGAAAGCTAGGTTTAGAATACATAGTATGTTTATATTAAAGGATGGCTTTGGTTACCATTCATTCAACCTGCAGAATTAATGTATTTCAGTAAAACTGCTTACGAGATCAATGGTTGTACTAGCTCTTACACATAAGTCAGGGAAGGGATTCAACAAATCAGACAAGGCACAACTATATCTAGATATTATATTGTCACTTGCCTTTTCTTAGGCAAAGCTGCAAAGAAAGAACAGGGCACACACCATGGGCCATCACAGCTGAAATGTGTGTGTCTTATGGAAATGGCTGCCTCCTGTGTTGTGAAGCAAGCATGCACTGAGTCAAAACCAAGACTTCATTACTCACAGAATGAAGAGGGTGAATAGAATGATTGCTAAGGTCTTTTCTGTCTCCAAAATGAATCTCACATGCGCAAGTGGGGAATTTAAAATGTCTTTAACTTCAGTTCCATTATCACAGTGTTTTAAAGGCAGTGGTGGTGTTCTTTACCTGGTCTATTTTACAAATGCTAATAATATTTTAGAAAAATATTCTAAAGATAAAATAATAGTTTGTATAAATATTAGTTCCATAAGACAGGCATGAAAGAGAGGAATATTTAAATATTCCCAATCTTGTTATAATGACTACATTTTAAACCAAAACAATGAGTAAGCATATGGAAATGTGTATACAAAAAGGCAATTAATATGATTTGGGGAGCTGCCAAATGTTTGATTCAAAGAATCCTGGAAGAGAACTTCAAACTTTTGTATCACTCTAATTTCATTTACTTATTTCATCCAATCCCCAGATTTCCATTTTAATTGGAGTATTATTTAATATATGTTTCAATTTTTAATTTAATTAAAAATTTCAGTATTCTACAAAGGTAATAATTATTTGAAAATAAAATGTATCACAACAAAAATAACTTATTTTGGCAACTGCTATTAGAAACATGTCTTTAAAAGAGTTGAGTCACTATGATTCTTTTGAAAATGTGAAATACTGTTTTGTTGCTTTAGAGAGTATAGTTTGAATATAGTTTATTACCAGTGATGATATACTTCCTCATCCTATTGTACTCAAAAGCAAGAAGGTATAATTATTTACTGCCCTCATAGCTCTGACAAGCAATGGCCTTTATATACTTTTCCTTTTGTCTCCTGGGAATGGTTAATAGGGCTGGAGGAGGGAACTCCAATGCTAATGGTGCTATTCTACACATGTTTGAATCCCCTGGGAGAGATACTAACTCTTTTCCTAGAGCCTGTAATGATTCAAGTACTTGGAGGATTGCTCTGGATTGATGGTGTATCCCTTCAAAATAATCTTAAACTAAGGTAACTAAAGGTATATGTTATAGTGACTGCCCAGATAAAATCTGAATCATTAACATGATATCTGGCTACGTAGTATAATTGAATGCAACAGATAAAGAATTTACAGAACTGAACCAATTCTAAAATATTGCCAGATGAATATATAAACAAAGCATTAAACAGGTATAAAGTCTTGATTAGCTATGACTTTCAATTTACTGTTCCTTGCTGCTTGCTTTTCTACACAAAATGGGAAATGGGCCAATTAAGAATTTTCTTGAGCATTCTTGCCTGGATAATTCCGGTTAGCTGATCAGTAAACAAACTTCCTTTAAGTTCATAGTCCAGAATATGGACTATGTTTACTCTTTGGGGTTACGAAGTTATCAATCTTTGGAAGGAAAAACTCCCCCAAATCCTATATATTATTTACTCATGTATGCTTATGGAATAGCACACAGGGATATATAATTCAAAAGAGCAGATTATCCAATATTATTCCTTTTGGATTTTAGCATGAATTAGGAGAGAATAATTAGAAATTTCATGAGTGATTGTTTCATTTAACTGTATTCCCAAAGCTAATTGATTTTGAGATAAAGCAATTTCAGCTTCACTTACAAATGCCTCCTTCCTGAAAAGGTTTACACACTGCTCATCTTTCAAACAATTCCAGGGAACTGGCATTCTAAGACTAACCAAGATTCTATTGCAGTCATGCACAGAAAATTCCACTGGTGGGGGGGGGGGGGGGGGGGGGT